AAAAAAAAAAAAACCCACAGTGTGAGAAACCACTTCCCACCCACTAGGGTGACTAGAATCAAAAGGACAGTATTAGTAAGTGTTAATGAGAATGTGGAAAACCTGGAACCCTTATACACTGTTGGTGGGAATGGTGCAGCCACTTTGGAAAACAGTCTGATGGGGCCTCAAAAGGTTAAACACAGCTACCTGTGACCAAGCAATTCTATTCCTAGGTGTACACCTGAGAGAAATGAAGATATATGTCCATCCCCACAAAAACCTGTACATAGATGTTAACAGCAGCATTATTCATAATATCCAAAAAGTGTAAACAACCCAAATGTCCATCAAATGATAAATGAATAAAATGTGGTTCATATCCATACGATGGAATACTATTTGGCAATAAAGAGTACTAACACATGCTACAACATGGACGGACCTTGAAAACATTCTGCTAAATGAAAGGAGCCAGAAACAAAAGACCACAGGTTGTATGATCCCATTTATATGCAATGTCCAGAAAAGACAACTCCATAGAGACAGGAAGTAGATGAGTGGCCCCAGAGGTGGAGAGGAAGGGACAGGGAGTGACAGCTAATGGGTACAGGGCTTCTTTTTGGGGTGATGGAAATGTTCTAAAATTGTGATAGTTATATAACTCTGTGAATTACACTAAAAGCTATGAATTGTAAAAAATAAAATGTCAATTACTATACCCTCAAAAATATGAAATAATTGGAGATAAATCTGACAAAGGATGTGTAAGATTTGTACACTGAAAACTGCAAAACACTGCTGAGAACATTTTAAAAATTCAGACATATCTGAATAAATCAAGATATATCCTTTATTCACAGATCAGAAGATAGAATGTTGCTAAGATTTAATTCCCCCCAAAATCGATCTGTATATTCAATACAATCTCATCAAAACCTTAGGCATTTTTCATGTAAATTGAGAGGCTAATTCTAAAATTCATATGGAAATGCACAGGATTTATAAAAGTGAAACAACTTTGAAAAAAACAAAGCTGGAAGATTCACACTCGCACTGCCTCGTTTCAAGAGTTACTATAAAACTACAATTTGTGATGTTTTGAGTTGATTTTGGTGTATCACACACGGCACCAAAGTTGTTTTTTTTTTCCTAGCACCAGTGCAAAGACTCTCCTTTCTCCATCCAACTGCCTTTGTAGCATTGTTGAAAACTTGTTCTCCATATATGCATGGATCCATTTCTGTACTTTCTATATTATGTTCTATTGATCTATTTGTATATCTTTATGCCAAGAGCAACCTGTCTTGATTACTGTTGTTTGCTTCTGTTGCAGGACTCTATTTTGTTCTAGTGATCTATGTATCTATCCTTTAGCCCATATCATACTCTCCTGATTACTATAGCTTCATAGTAAATCTTGATATCAGGTAGTAAAAGTCCTCCAAATTTTTTCTTTTTCGAAATTGTTTCGACTACTCTAGCTTCCTTGCTTTTCCATATAAATCTTAGAATCAGCTTGTTAATATCCATCATTGGGTTTTTATTGGAATTCTATGAATCTATGGATCAGCTTGGGGAGAACTGATATCTTAATAATATTGGGTCTTCCCATCCAAAACCACATCTATTTAGGTCTTCCCTGATTTCTATCATCAGTGTTTTATAGTTTGAAATACCTATCTTTCACATACATTGTAAGCTCTACATGTAAGTGTTTTATGCTTTTAGGTGTTATTGTATGTGGTTCTTGCTGTGGACTGAATTGTGTTCCCCCAAAATTCATTGTTAAAGTCCTAACCCCAAATGTGATTGCATCTGGAGATGGTGTCTTTAGGAGGTAATTAAGGTTGCTGGCGCCTGGGGGGCTCAGTCATTTAGCGTCTGCCTTCGGCTCAGGTCATGATCCCAGGGTCCTGGGATCGAGCCCCGCATCGGGCTCCCTGCTCCGTGGGAAACCTGCTTCTCCCTCTCCCACTCCCCCTGCTTGTGTTCCCTCTCTCACTGTGTCTCTGTCAAATAAATAAACAAAATCTTTAAAAAAAAAAAAAGGAGGTAATTAAGGTTAAATGAGGTCATAAGGGTGGGGCCCTAATTTGATAGGACTGTAGCCTTATAAAAGAAAGATATCTCCTTCCCTCCCTACCCTCTCCCTCCCCCACCCCACCCTACCCCCTCTCTCCCCACCACATGAGTACATGGCAAGAAGGCAGCCATCTGCAAGCCCGAGAGCTCTCACCAGGAATCAAATTAGCCTGCACCTTGATCTTAGATTTCCCAATCCCCAGAACTACAAAAAAATAGTTAAGAAAAAAAAAAGCATGCAAATAGCTGATAAATGTTCATCCAGTAACTCCTTAAAGCTCAAAAGCAATTTAACTTGGCTCTTTCTTAGCCGTAAGTTAAAACTCGATGTCATATTATTACCAAATTAATATCTTGCCATTCATTGAGTGAACGGTCTGCATCTTTTTCAGCTTCTTCATGTGGCTCAGTGTCTGAAGCCTCACTTCCAGAGTTGGGTCTTAGGAGGCCCTCAGAGTCACCAGTGGCTTCTTCCTTCTTAGTTCCTATCAGTTCTTCTTCATCTTGTCTGGAGGGAGATTTAGAAGCTTCATGTAACTCAGCCTGAAGTTCATCATTACTATTTATACTCTGTACTTCGATGAAACTTCCTGTACCAAAATAACAAGGTCACTTTATTTACAAGTGAAACATTAGAATTATCCCAAAGTCATCGAGAGCATTCCAAAGTATCCTGAAAAATGTTTTACCCTGAAATGATCTGAATTTACTAGAAAACATGTAAGGCTAACATATTACTATTAAATAAATTTAATAATAAAAAATGCCTAACTTCAAAATAAGCCTTTTCCATTAAACTGGCACTACCTTTGAAATTAGGAACCAGGCTTTCAAAGACTTGTATATAAGCTTTATACAAATATGCTAAGTTAAAGGAGAATTATCAGAGGATGTCAAATATCATGTAGGTTGTTATATGTTCTCATTTCACTATGGACATAGCAAAGAATAAAGCTGTGAATTAGTGGAAAGAATCCTGGAAAAGTACTCAGGAGAAATAGCTCTTCTCTTCCACCTTCCTTCCCTCCTCTCCTGTGTCTTGTCTTTTCTTTAAAAAGAAATGTGATTCCCTTCTTTTGCTTCAGGTGGAGGGGGATGGATTTCAGGATGCAATCAGGACAGAGTGGGCTGGAGACCTCAGAGTGGGGACTGGGGCCAAGGAGACAGCCAGGACCAAGGAGAACACCAATGGGACCAGGAGATGGTTACAAATTAAGAGAGAATAAGCAGGGGCGCCTGGGTGGCTCAGTCGTTAAGCGTCCGCCTTCAGCTCAGGTCATGATCCCAGGGTCCTGGGATCAAGCCCCGCATCGGGCTCCCTGCTCCGCGGGGAAGCCTGCTTCTCCCTCTCCCACTCCTCCTGCTTGTGTTCCCTCTCTCGCTGTCTCTCTCTCTGTCAAATAAATAAATAAAATCTTTAAAAAAAACAAAAAAAACAAATTAAGAGAGAATAAGCAATAAGTCAATATATTAAGGACAATGGGAGTAAGGTTTATCACTCTTAGAAAGGGAAATCACAACAAAAGTGGAAGCTAAAATGAAATCTGTGATGTTGGATTGGAATGCAGGTATCAGTATGAACTCATAGATTTTTATACATGAAAATATACATTTATATAGAAATATGTATTTATTTGTAGAGAAATAAATACAGATGGGTGTGTGCACATGCTTGTGTGTATATACATAAATATACTCCCTGGCTCTGTCCCTGAGAGGGCCTGAAGCAATGCCCACTCCAGTACCAGTGAGCACACTCAGGGTCCAGATCTTGGTTTCTAAACATCATGCTCTATTACCAGAGAGACCGAGGACTCTCTGGTGAACTGGCTGGATCCAGGGACAGGGCAGGGCAGGGAAAGTATAAGATAAATCTGGAATGTCTTGATCAGAAAGTAAAGAAATGCTCAAACTATAAGAGGGAAGTGTCAAAAGTCACAGAAGCCAGCCTGAAGGGGGCCCCCACTGGCCAAAGCCAGGACGACTCCAACCATAAAGTACAACAGCATCATAAATCACTAAATAAAGCAGATAAACTCTTGAGTCCACATGGATATTAAAAAAACAGTAAATGGGGAAGAGGGAAAGATCTTCCTTATAAAAGGATGTAAACTGAAAAATATGTAAGGAACGATGGAACTAGAAAACTGCCATTTGGCAGCCATCATAGTAACCATTTATTTAGGTAAAAATCATCAATGAATGCTGAAATAAGTGAGCAAAGATTTGTTCAGGAACAACAGCCTTTACATAGACAGCCTTTCCAAAAAATTACTTTACACAGCCTTTCCATAAAATACTAATTACAAAGGAGAAACAGTAACTTTAGAATGGAGAAACGGGGGGTGGGGGGATGGGTTAGCCCGGTGATGGGTATTAAAGAGGGCACGTAATGAATGGAGCACCGGGTGTTATAACGCAAACAATGAATCATGGAACACTACAGCAAAAACTAATCATGTAATGTATGGTGATTAACATAACATAATAAAATAAAATTTAAAAAAAAAAAAAAGAATGGAGAAACTCAGCAGACACCAGGAAAAGTTAGCTTGTGTGTGTGTACAATCAATTCTTGTTATTCACAACAGTATGTTCTATAAAGTCACTGTAAACACTTAATCCACGAATACATCCTTGTTCATAGAGTAAATATATTTAAAATCGCAAATCCTAAAAACAACCCATCTTGGCAAATTCTAATTTCTTTATCTTACGAAAGAGAAAATGAGGTTTAGGAGTGTTAAGAGACTTGCCTGAGGCTGCCCCACTAACAGGTGCTGGAATTGGGATTCAAACCCCATCCAACTAACCCGAACCAGAGCTTCTTGATCTACACTGCGCTGCTCTCTCCCATATTCACCTTCTGGTCACCTCTGTGGGAGAGCTGCAACATGAAGGCGGAGTGACACCTTGTTCAACCTCAGCTAGGAGTGGTATGGCAATTCAAACTTCTAGCCACTTTACTCAGGTCCATGAGTGACCACAAAGATATTACCGCTGAGTATTGATTCTGGGGTTACAAATAAATTTTAGTAAGCAGGCAATGTCACAAATAAGAAATCTGTGAATAATGAGGATCGACCACATAGAAGTCTGTATAGATGTAGATATACAGTAAACATGTATATGTATATAAACATATATAAAGAGATATGATAAAGCAAATGTGGTTAAACGCTAGCCATTGAGGTACTGGGTGAAGGAACCAGAATGTTCTATAATATTCTTTCAACTTTATTAAGTTTATAATTATTTCAAAACAAAAAGTTAAAAAACCTAAAAGACTCACTTCTACCTTTTCCAACTGGTACTCCCTCCTTTTAAAAACAACAACAAAAAAGAACCAGCTGTGTGTCCTTGGGAGAGTCATTTCACCTTTTTGGGGTCCTCGTTCATCATCGGAACAAAAGTGGGAACTAGACTACACTGCAGGATCTCTCCGTTCCTGGAGATGTAAAACCCTACAGTTGTGTATATCTGGAAGAGCACAAGCACCTACCATCAGATTCACTTTCTTCAGAGTCCATTTCCATTGGCTCCACGGCCTTTGGAACTGAAATTAAGTCCTGGTCTGCAGATTCCACTGTCTCATGTTCTTGGATGGTTTTCAGGAAATTCTCGTGCTCTTTAGAATTAAAGGATACTGCATTTTCCAAGTTACTTATTGCCTCTGCAGGGACACTTTGTGTATTACTCATTTCTTGCCAACTGACAGTGTCCATGATTTCAGAAACGGGATTTTTTTCACCTTCTGCTTCATCATCACTTGAAAGAACAGAGGAATCATATTTGGGGCCTGATGGACAAAGGTCTTGCAGCCCAGGCTCTTTGGTGTATATTTCATTTCTTGATACAGAGCGTGAACTCATCGAAGGTACTAGTGTCCGTTGTGTCCCACTCTGGAGTCCAGGTGCATCGCTGTGCATCACCACTGTGCTTTCTGAAGGAACTGGGTCTTTTCTACCCTCAACCGTAGACTCATCGCTTGTCTGAAAGGCTTCACTCACCACGTGCATAAGTGACATTTCTTCTTTTGAAACACCAGATTCGCTGCCTGGACAGAAGACGGGACGGGACAAATGAGCAGAGTCTGCCAGCCTCCTGTCACTGTCAGGGCTGGTTTCATGTGCAGAGTTCACACGAGTTAGATGGGGTCCTGATGGCAACAGCATTCCTTCTCCGTCTCCCTCTGTCAGGCCTCCAACAACTTCTTCATGGCAACTGTTCTCAAGCAGTGTTTTCACTCCTGACCCTCCTGCCTGCACGTCATTTCCAGCATGTGCTTCCATGTCTTCATCATCATCAAGAACCTTCTGAATGGCTAAGAGAGTAAGCGGCGACACAGGTGCATTCTTCACATCAGACTGCTTTGGAGTCTCGCTCTCCCACCCCTCTTCTGAGCTGCTTCCCAGCATGGCAGCCTGCATGGCCAGGGAAGTTCTTGGAGAAGGAGGGGCAGCAGCAGGCTCTTTCTCTGGCTTCAGTTTCTCACACAGAGATGACTTCATGTCAAAAGACCTGCTGTGCATTTCGCTGGAAGAAGGAAGAGCCTCTAAACCCACCTCTGCAACTTTCTTAGCTTGAATACCTTAAGAAAAATTAAAACATTTCTCATATAGTTTTACAGTGAGACAATATGCTTCTAGTAAGATGAATAAAAGAATACTGGTTCTCATGAATGAAGTTATAAATTTTCATTTAAACAGCACTAAGAGTTAATTTGTTATGTAATTTTAAAGTGGGTTTGTACACGAGCACTGAGTAACGTACAGAACTGTTGAATCATTATATTGTAAACCTGAAACTAATATATAACACTGTACGTTAATTATACTGAGAGTAAATAAATAAATAAATTTTAAATAAATAAAAACAAAGAGGGTTGGTACAATAGTAGGTATCCATTAATAGCTACATATATTTATTATTACATAAGTAGGGTGGTAGTTCCTAGAATTCGGAGACATAACATATTTTTGGTTTTTAACCATCAGGTAAGTGATGGTACCGAATACCTCTTATTAAGATGTAATGTGAAGTATCTTCAGAGACCACTCTCCTTGACTCTACCTCCTTCAAAAAGCCCCCTTCATCTTCATATTGCCTTTGGATTTGTCCTGACTGTTGCTGATTCATTTCCTTTTGGACATTTTCTATGTGTTGGTTTAGGTAGTTTTTTTTAAGCAAGCCTTTGAGCTGATACTGTGAAAAGTCATTAGACTCCTAAAATAAAATAAATAAAATTATTTTTTTGTATTAAATACAGATAATATTCCCACACTTCCATCCTTTTCCCCACAAAGGGACAAAGAGCAACTGGTTTTTTCCATTGGTGACATTTTCATATTATAACAGTAAAATTTGAATACTAGGAAAAAAACTGTAACTGCCTTATTAAAAAATAATCTTTAAAACAAAAAGATTTAGGCAAAAGAAATCATGGATACCGTTTGTGCCTTAATCGTTTATTCAAAAAACATTTATTAAGCAGTAATGCATGCCAAGCACTGTGACATTTTGATTATGGCTTAATAAATAGATAACCTTCTGGAATGCAAGTAAATATGCAAGTAAAGTGGGGCACCTGGTGGCTTAGTCGGCTGAGCGTCCAACTCTTGGTTTCGGCTCAGGTCATAATCTCATGGTTTGTGAAATCTAGACAGGCTCCACACTCGGCAGTGGGGGGAGTCTACTTGAGGATTCTCTCCCTCTGCCCCTTACCCTACTCATGCTCTCTCGTGCATGCTCTCTAATAAATAAATAAATCTTTAAAAAAATATGCAAGTAAAGTGCCTAGCACAGTCCCTGACCCATAAAAGACACCTCAGAATTCATGGCAATCACAGTTATTAATGATAATAGTTAACATTTATAAAGCATTTTCTGTGAAGGCATTCTTCTAGGAGCTTTCATGTGTATCATCCCATTTTATTTTCAACCACCCCATGAGACCTAGGTCATTATCTCCAGTCTACAAATGAAGAAGCTGAGACAAACAGGTTCAGTAACCTCCCTAGAGTTGCAAGGCTAGTGAGTGTTAGATGTGGGATCAAAAACAGGTTGCCAACGCTACACTGCTTCTATTGCTATTATGTTATTACTTACTATCATTACTATTCTCAATATTGCATTTGCCCAATGTACAGATGATACAGAGGTCCACCCTGGATGACTCAGACCCTCTCTTCCCTATCAGAATTACAGGTCCCATGGGCTGCTGAGCCACACTACCCTCTACCCTACCATCTACCGATCCCAGGCTCCACGGTGATGGGGAAAGAACAAAAGGGAACAAATCATTAGGGACCATCTCCCTTCTTCCCATGCCTTCCCAATGTTGTTTACATAACCCAAATTCCATTTCCTCAAAAGCCAGCCAGAGATCCTTTCACACGCAAGAAATAAAGTGCTTGATACACAGGCTAAGTGTGGATTTTTTCCCCTGAAATGAAAACAAATTTACTTCTGTCCTTCGTATATCATTTCAGTGTACCTTAGCATTTTCCTATGTTCACACTGTTTGTGGAAAAACCAAAGGACTGATAGAGAAAGAAATAGGACCTGCCTGCCTGCCTTTTTCATATTTTGGTATCAATTTAAGAAATGTCCAAAAGTTTATAGAAAAAAAACCACTACATCCATTCATTAGGAACAATGCTGCTGCAAAATGTATACTCTGTCCTAACAGTGAGTTAGAGAATGATGTGAGAAATAACAGGTGGTAGCAATAGAAAGGAAAACAAAGTTCATTCACCCACTAAAAGCAGGAGTAATTAATGGTGTACCATGATCAGGAGACAAGCCTGACCCCAACTCCGCGCACCACCTGCTCCAAGGGTCTGTGGCTGTAGAACCACCAGAAGATGCTCCAAGTTGAAGAATTTATCACTGAATTTCCTATTACCACTGTCTAGAAAGAGGAAGAGGGAAGGTGAAGGTCCAATTGCATTTCTAGGCCTGCAGCCAAAGAAGAGACACCTGGAATATCAAGTTAGATTAGATTCTGTATTACTATTAGTATTCTACAGACAATGCATATTATGGGTTAAAATAACTTTTATGAACTAACCTAAGAATTGAACCACTAAGCATACGCTGAGCACTTACTATGTGAAAGATACTGACCTAGGGGCTGAAAATACAGAAGTGACAAAACAGGCACATTTGGATGCTAAGAACCATAAAGAGACATTATAGGGTGTTATGAGAACACAGGAGAGAACCAGGAGATAAGACCTGGTGTTTTTTATTTCATTTTTTATAGACTTATTTATTTTAGAGAGAGAGAGAGCACACACAAGGGGAGAGTGAGAGGGAGAGAAAGAATCTCAAGCAGACTCCGTGCTGAGCATGGAGCCCGATGCAGGGGCTCGATCCCATGACCCCGAGATCATGACCCGAGCTGAAATCAAGCGTCAGAACCTTAACTGAGTGAGCCACCCAGGCATCCCAAGACCCGGTCTTAAGTGGAAAGTCAAAAGGTTTCTTTGAAGAAATATGTGTAAGTTCAAACTTGTAAATACATGATGCTTCACAGACTCTCTGAGACACAAATGCTGTTTACTGGAAACAGATACTATATAAGTAATACTTATCAATTTCCTCTTTTTTCTAATAAAAAATTTTGCTGACGCTCTAAGCATTCTAAGCATTAATATGCTGTTGTATATTTCACCTCTGGCATTGCTTCAAATAAGGTTCGTCTTCGCTTGGTAAATTCTTTCATATCAGTCAGGATTTCATGCTTTATTTCAAGAGGCAGGCTGCTGAAATCTTCAGACTCAATATCTATGGCATGAGGATTATGAAAGAACTCTTCCTGTAAAGAGTAAAAGTTCATTTTTTACATGAAGTTTACATTTTGTACACTTAATTCTATTTACCCTGATATTTATTGCACTTATGATTGCACTTATGATAAATAGTTCTACAAAATCTGCAACAGACTAAACACAGTTGTACATAATTCTGCAATAGGTATCAGTGAATAGGCAGATTGGGGAATGTAGCCGTTCACTCACTGATTCACTCTGAAGAAAAAATACTTACCAGACCCCCCTAATGTGCCAGGCACTGTTCTAGGTGCTAGGGTACTGTGCAGATCATGCCAGACAAGGTCCCTACTCTTAGGGGTAGAGTAAGACAGAATAACCAAATAAATAAATAAATGAACAAGAAAATAAAGCTGGTTAATCTGATAAGAGAGTTGATTAGAACAGGAAGAGAGAAAACATTTATTTGATAGACAGAGAAGACCTCATTAAAAAATGACGTGTGAGCAGGGACTTGAAAGACACCAACGAGACTGATCAGGACATCCCAGGCGGCAGGAACAGCAAGGACAAGGGCCCTAAGGCAGGGATGAGCCTTATGAATTTGAACAATATCTGTAATTCCCTTAATTAGATTAATTTTGTTTTGCTCTTAACCTATAATCAGAAGTGAAGACAAGTGAGAAATTCACAGGCATGAAAAAGTATAAAACTTTTCTAAATTTAACTGATTACCAAAAGTACTTAAGACTCTTCATTAGTAAAGAAAATAAAATAACAGAATTTGCTTTCCTGTAGGTCGGTATGTTGTTTGTGCATGTGCCAACCAGCCAGCACTTAGGACAGGCCAGTCATGCTCAGAACACCCCTTGCTTTCCCCATACGGAGGGAACACCTTAATGTTCCCATCAGCCCTCTGAGGAAGGCATCATTATCATTTTTGTTTCACAAAAAAAAAGGGGGGGGGGATGGGAAATAAAGCCCTGGAGAAGTTAATTTGTCTAAGATCACATAGCTAGTGCACAGGAGAGCCTGGACTTAAATGCAGGTCTTTCTGACCATAATATTCATGGTCTTCACCAAGACTGCTCTCATTTGCTGTATTAATAATGCAGAACCTCTACAAGTTGAAGGAGCCTGAGGTTGTAGCTCAAAAGTCTTTCTCCAGATGCACCAAAATAATAGGAACATACAAAAACCAGTTAACTTGGGAATCAAAGAATGTTATCCACTATTCAAGAAACTTGAAAAAAACTCCAAAAACTTGTATATTACAGTACAACCTCAATTTGTAAAAATGTCATTCATTAAAATAACTGTGGTGGTGGTTTTAAAACATGACCACAGGTTCTCTGACACCTCTTTTCATCTAATTCCCGCCCCTTAACTAAGGGCTGGCCTCACTGACCAGCTTCTCACAGACAGAATGCGTAGCAAGGGAGGCCGCGCTATGTCCAAAGCTGACGAGAAAAGGCCACAGGTCCCGGCAGGCATCTGCTCTCAGGATGCCTGCCCCTGAAACACAGGGCCATGCTGTGAGCGAGCCCAGGCCACACGGAGGAGCCACAGGCAGGTGTCCTGACTGACAGTCAGTGTCAACCACCAGACATGTGAGTAAGGAAGCCTTGGAGGGGACTCCAGCCCCAGCTATGGTCAGCCTGCATTTACACGGAAGCCGTGCAGACAGGACTGCCTCACTGAGCTCAGCAACCCCCAGAACAGCAAGAAGATGATAACAAACAACCGAATTCACGCCTCCAAGTTACACAGCAATGGAGAACTGGAACATCAGCACAGACATACATTTACATATATATGCACACATGTACACCTGACATGCACACACATACCCAAATACGCACACGGACATTCAACCATAAGGAGAGGGGCAGGAGAATGGGCTAATATATATCAAAATGTTACTTGAAGTTATTTATGGGTGGTACGTTTTCTATATTTTTATAGAAGTACGTATTACTATTTATACCCATTTACTGTTTAGTTGATTGGTTGTAAAAGAAAGATGGCCTATTTTGGATACCCAGACATGCATGATGATAAATGCCATACAAATGTGCACAGCTGCCTGTGTGTTTGTACATACGTACACACGCACACACGAATACACACACACACACAATGAAGAAGGCATGTGTCTATTTTTATCAGGAACTTCCATAAATTCATAAGACCTCATTATTCATTTTCATGTCATTCATTTCAAATAACAGAATATATTCCGAATTCACAAATTACGTAAGTACCTGTAATGCTTGTTTTTGACTCATTCTTTCTTGCCATTCTCTTTCGTCTTCTTCTTCTGAACTGAAAGTCAAGCATACATTTACAGTATCTATGATTTAATGACAACTTATAAAAATACCTCTGGAGGCAAGGGGCCACTAGTTCTAGGGGCTACGATGGTGAATAGGTTGGCACGAAACTCACCGTCATTGTTCCCACAGTCGGGAGGGGACACATGCCAGGGAGCAATTACAGTATGATCTGATGATGTCCATCACAAGGGAGGAGCAGGTTGCTAAAGGTGCAATAAGGGAAGTCACCTCTCTCCAACTGGGGGGGTGGGTGGTCCCTAAAGTTTCCTGGAATCTCTGGCAACTGCACTGCTTGGACTTAGCCACAAATAAGAGAGGGGTCTAGTTGTAGGGTCTGCAGAACGTTCATGGAGACAAGTGTTCCAGGCAGAAACACTACGTTCTATAAACATCTGGAAACAAGGGAAACAAAGCCTGCCTGGAGACGGTATAAAGAGGGCCTGGTGAGGTTGGGGAAGCATGTGATTAAGAGGCTGAAGTTTTATCCTAAAGAAATGAGAAGCTAGGAACTGTTTCAGGCTCCAAAATAACATTATCAGGTTTGGGTTTTAACAGATTCTACACCACAAAGCAGAGATTGAATTTGACTGGTAGGGGTTCCAGCAAAAGGGAAGATCAAAGACAAAGACAGAGAAAGAAGTGTGGAAGCCTTTATGGTACTTGATGGTGGCAGCGATGAAGAGAAACAGAACTGGCCTGATTCAAAAGCCACTTGGTGTCTCAGAAGACTCCGGGAAAGGAATGCAGGCAGGTGGGGGCAGAGACACACTGCCAGGCCCTCTGCCTGCACTTCAGCCACAGAAGCAGCTGACAGTGAACAGAGAGCCAGAGAAGAGTCCACAGAGGAGCCTGAGAAAGAGTGGCCAGAGAGGTTCCCAGATAGCAGGATAGCAAAGGTGCCGAGTCACGTGCAGCTAAACAGTACAGTGGGCTGACACCTGCAGAGCTTCTACTGGATTTAGCAAGGAGGACGTTGTGTGTGGTCTCTTGGCGTGGTGCTGAGAGTCCGAAGACACAGGCTGAGAAACAGGTAGAGATAGTACGTAAAAGCAAAGGGTAGGAAACATGAAAATCCACATCTTCAGGAACTACACACGAACAGTGCTAACACACGATCTGCAGAATGAAGAGACAAACCAGCACAAACTACCAAAACACAAGGCAAGTTAGTCACTAAAAAATTCAGTCTTTGAAAAATATTCTAAAAGGTGTCAAGAATGCATTTGCAGATGCATTAATTCCCACATGCCTTATCATGTAGATAAAAACACAAAGGTCTGTATCTGTCTGAATACATAGACAATTACTATTTTTAAATAGTTGACCATTTACCTGTTTTTTTCTTCTTTCTGTAAAGGTGGCAAAACATAGATGTCATCTTCTCTTTGAACTTGAGTAAGACTGGGCAGTGCTTCATCTCTGAAAAGCACACACAGACGTAGGCAGAGGTGACAGGAAATAGGACACTGAGTCAGGAAGACCCCCCGCTGATTACACAAGCCCTGCTGAGGGGGTGAGAAGGGGAAAACCACGGGGCTGGAACAGGTTTCTCCCTGCTGCCCAGACTGCCCAGGCCGCTGCTGTAGGAAGCAAGCGTGGCCTCGAGAGAAAGGGGAAGCTCACTGCGGCTCCCGGCACCCCGGCCACAGCCTCAACTGCAGGCGCGCAGACGCGCCTTACGGAAGTACATAGTGTTGCGTTGCGGGCAACACAACACTATGGCTCTTCTCTCTCCGTATCCAAGCTGACTCTCACTTAACAGAGAATTTTCACAACTTCCAATTACTGGGTCAAATGGGCCCACTTATCCCTCTGATTTCACCGTCTGTGATCTGCCAAGTTAAAATCAAGGAAAGGGAACCAGAGGAATTCAAGGGGAAAGTTAAAAGCCTTTAGTCTTTAAAATTAATGTAATTTGCCTCTTGCCTTTTGCTTTTTAAGGCAGTTTTGATAGCTTGTCTTTTCAAAAATGTTTTCAAAAGCTTCTCTGTAGTTTTTCTGGAATCAGTGGTTGCCAAATCCTTTCTGTGCCTTCTCTTAGCCTGTGAAAACAAAGGACATAGGATTCTGTTTCAGGGTATGAGTATATTAAAAACATTTCTGTGACTTTTTTCCATAGAATTTGGTTTGTCTGAGTTTCAGATTATGACTGCTTTAGTATTTCCTCCAAACTGTCGTATCAGTGGGTATATTCAGGTTTCTGCTACATAAAGAACACTGAGTATCCATCTACCTACTACTAAATGGACTGGCTAGGATACAGTATTTGGCAAACTATTAATTTACTTTCAGTTTCTTTTAAATGGCCCTTAATGTCCCCAAGAAGCATACAACTTAATAATATATAATTAAGTAAACATTTCTCAAAAGGGATTATATTAATGTATTCTTTAAAATGTCACTATTACGCCAAACCAATTTCTGGCATTGGTCTCTATAAAAATACATTACTTGGGACACCTGGGTGGCTCAGTCGGTTAAGCGTCTGACTCTGGACTTCAGCTCAGGTCATGATCTCATGGGTCATGGGATCAAGCCCTATGTCGAGCTCCATGCTTAGGGCTTGAGATTCTCTTTCCCTCTGCCTCTGCCCCTCCCCTGCTCTTTCTCTAGCTCCCTCTCAAAAAACATAAAATAAAATTAAAAATATGTTACTTACATGCCACTCTGTCCCTCAACATTCAAGTTTATATCATAAGAAATCCTAAAATGTATAGAAGTTATCTTGTAAAAAAATGTCCATGTAGGAAAAAATGGAATACTCTGCATGCTTATGGTGGAATATAAGGAGGAAATACCAAAACATTCTTTTCCTTTTTTAATTAAGATATAACTGACCTATAACACTGTGGAAGTTTAAGGTGTACAACGTGTTGATTTGGTACATTTATATATTACAAAATGATTACTAGAGTAGTGTTAACTAACACCTTTACCATGGGGCTGGGGAATTGGGGAGATGTTATTTACTAGTAGATAAATAAATTCTGGAGTTCTTTTTTCCTGTCTAATCCTTCCAAGGTGTACCTGATAGAATGTGCCTTGGATAATTTAAAACTGCAACATGCAAGTCTAGACCTTTTCCTAAGGGAATAAATGTCCCCAAGCATTTACCGATCCTTACTTTTATCCTACATCCTCACTTAATTAGACAATGTCTGTCTGGTGTGAGCATGAAGTGATGAGCTGGCATTTTCAGCACATAAAAGTCCTATGTCCAAATGGGTGCTGTCATTCGGGGGGGGGTGCTGGGGGTTAATACAATTACTCCAAAGTTCACAACTTTGTTCCAACATTGTTTTAAACTACCTTCAGAATAAAGAAACTCAATGTCATTCTTTCATATCCTGGCCAATTTCCTTCCTCAATAATCCACCTCAGTCACACCTGGCACCACATAAAATCCAATTACTCTTTACTCCAATTACTCTGATCTCAGATTCAGGGAGGCATTTTCCCCAACAGGCTCTCTATCATGCTCAGCAGCATAGCTAAAACACACATGGGACACCTAAGAAGATACTCTAAAAGGAAAACTCTCAATTATAAGAATTTTAGTAGGTTTTTTTTTTTTTTTTAAGATTTATTTATTTGAGAGAGCGAGCATGGGGAGCCCTACTTGGGGCTCAATCCCAGAATCCTGGGATCATAACCTGAACCTAACTGACTGAGCCACCCAGATGCCCTCCCCTTTTTTTTAAGATTTTATTTATTTGAGAGAGAGAATTTTAGTAGTTCTATTAAAAGTTGAATTTTATCATGGCACCCAGGACATAGCCTCACAAATAATCCTTTTTTAAAGGAAAAAGTGTTGACTGTTCAAGATAAACTAAAAAAAAAGTTGAAATTAAGTGGGATATATGTCAAAATAAGTCTTGGCTTCCAAAATTCTAAAGAGAAAATCAAAATTCTACATGAACTTTTCTTCCTTTCTAATAATTCAAGAAGAAAAAAAAAAAGATGACTCTTACCAAAGTTTGTTTCTTCAATAGTGGAGCATCCCCATCAAACACAAAAATAGGACGAATTCGAAAAAATAAGAGTTTGCAGAGCCGATGAAACAAAGTGAGAAGATGAGCATTTTCTATTGAGTTCCCATGGCGATCCCGGACTCCTCTCAGTGCCTGGTTTAACCAAATACTGATATCTGGAGGAATTGTTAAAGGAAAGTGTTTTGGAATTTCTTCCCTCATCCCCACAATTTCAATTTCCCAATAACTGATATCATCTAGACACTAAAATTAAGCCCTCATCACAGTTCATGTGAAACTGAAAAATGTTTAGCCCTGATGGAATCTGCCTAAAATCCATTAACTTTATTTGAACCCTTGTTACTACTGTTCGCAGACTGAATTTTAAAACGTTACATCGACAGATGTGTCCTTTAAAAAATCTAATTGCAAACACTTGCTTCTTTAAAAAAACTAATACTCTCTATAGAATTTTAATAAATTAGCACAACTCTTGTGGAAAATAATTTGGCAATTCATAGCAAAAAATGTAAAAACTGGCATTCTATTTTACTACTTCTATCTCCAGACACTTATTCTCAGAAAATCATCATAGATTTACAGTAAGAGTTACTTCTAAGAATGTCTGCAGTGATGAAAATATGATAAACAGGGCTCCTGGGTGGCTCAGTTGTTAAGCGTCTGCCTTCGGCTCAGGTCGTGATCCCAGGGTCCTGGGATCGAGCCCCACATCGGGCTTCCTGCTCAGCAGGAAGCCTGCTTCTCCCTCTCCCACTCCCCCTGCTTGTGTTCCCTCTCTCGCTATGTCTCTCTTTGTCAAATAGATGACTGAAATCTTTAAAAAAAAAAAAGAAAGAAAATATGTTAAACAATGTAAAAGTTTTCCAACAGGTCTTTACTTAAACTAAATTGTTATATACCGAATTGTTGGAATATCAAACAGCCCTCAAAAAAGGAAGCTACAGAAGCATCTATAGTGATAAGAAAGACAGGCACAAAATATTAAAGGACACAAAACAGGTTACAAAACTATGGAATGCATAATTACATTTTATAACATGTGATATGTTAAATACAAAAAACTAGAAGTTCAAATGCCAAAATATTAACAATAGTTACCTCTTCTGTAATTTTAAGTAATTAATGTTTTCTTGGAGTTTTATGTTTAACTTTTGTAAAAACTGCTTCTTACCAAATTATTTCCTATTTGTCCATAAGACAGAGGGACGTGGCACCGCTGATTTTCCTGCTCTCAGTCTCTTCCTCAGCTCCTCTAACTCGCCACTCAAGCACGACTTCAGCAGAGCTCTCCCGCAGGCCCCTCCCCTCCCCCTGCTGTCCTGGCTCCCCAGGCTACCTTAGCACCCCCACACCACACCCCCTTCGTGGGTGCAGGCTGCCCCAGGGCCCCAGACTAGATGGCCTTGCAGACATTCCCAACTTGACATGATCAAAACTGAACTCCAGATCTTTTCTTATTTTTTTATTTAAATTCAATTTAGTCAAGATACAGTGTATTATCAGTTTCAGGGTTGGATGTAGTGATTCATCAGTTGCATATAACACCCAGTGCTCATTACATCACGTGCCCTCCTCAATGCCCATCACCCAGTTACCCAATCCCCCCACCCCTCTCTCCTCCAGCAACCCTCACTTTGTTCCCTGGAGTTAAGAGTCTCTTACGGCTTGTCCTCTTCCCCATGTCTTTTCTACCAGGCTGCTTATGCCCCCATTGCAGTGAATGTTACCCCAGTCACCGAAGCCAGAAGGCTCAATGCCATCCCCTACGCTCCCCTCATCCAAACACTACCAGATTCTATCAATTCCATCTTTTAATCTATCTTGAAGGTAGACCCTTCCTGCCTCCAGGGTCTTATCACATGCTCCTTCCTCTGCCTGAGTTTCTCCCTCTCTTAGCTTAGTTTTCTGACTCATAAGTCTCAGTCTATGGGTCACTTCCTCAGCCCAGATAAAGACCTCCACTCATACGTTCCTATTCAAAAATGTACGCTGCTTATGTGGCAGAAATCCCACTGGAGATACAGGCCTGAACAAAACAAAGGGTTTGCCCTTGCGGAGTTTACAATCTAATGGAGGGAAACACCAAACCATGAGCTCCATGCCTTGTCTAGACCACACTTCCGTGCACTGCTCTCCCTTTCACAGGGCATATAGGAGGCAACAAATACTTGCTATTAATGAGCTGAACAGTTAAGTATTTAAATGAACATACATTACCTAATTTATAACCATAAAACAAATTGGGCCCATCAATAATTAACTCAATAAACACTAACAAAATAACTAGTGGAAAGCAAGCTATTATTATATTCATTCCAATATTTGAGTGCCACTCTGTGCCAGCATATCCAAGATCCCAAGGTCTTGGGATAGGCAGCAAACAACACAGCCCTGAACAAAACAGATAGGGTGTCTACCTCCAAGAAACTTGCACTCTAATGGGGAATATGGACAATAAAAAAGAAAAAAAAATGAAGTAACAGATATATAATACAACTATATATTATAGATATACTGTATTACATATAGTTATGTAATACAAAAAAGTAAATAGAGCAGAGTAAAAGGACAAGACTGGGGGTCAGTGCAGAGCTAAGTCAACACCAAATCCTACTTCCAGGGTAGATCCTTTATCCTACCACTTCTCACTGTCTCACCTTTTACTAGGGCTATTATAACTAGTCTTAAAACTAGTTTCAAAAAAAAAAAAAACTAGTTTCCTAAAGGACTTAGCTCTGTACTATAGTGGATAAACATTTCTGCTTGGCTTTTTTCTGGTTGCTACACTGTTCTCAGGATTAAGTTTCCACTTAAACCATTACTTTAAATGTTATAATCAATGAGAAAATCTAATTTCAGATCAGTGGCTCTCAACTTCTGCTATCCTTTCGAACTGTATATAAAGCTTTTAAAACATAGATTACTAACATACATATGCTTAAAATTCTAAATCCTAGAAACTATGATGGGTCTTTATTATTATTAATCATAGGTAGTCTCAACTAGGGTTAAAAGTTCCAGCTTGAAATTATTTTTTAAAATATACATAAAACTAGGCATTCTGAAAATATGTGCATAATTTGACTTGTCTAATTTCAGTAAGTTTATAAAAAAAAAAAAGGGAACATTAAATTTGTCCCAGGGCTGAAAAAAAGTTAAATCCACAGCAAAGCCAGATCATTTTATAGATAAGACCCAAAGGATCAATAACATTTTGAAATGAAAGATAAATTACTTTAGTTCTATTGTTAGGTGACTTACAATTTAATATCCGTTAGTATGCATAATCTAAATCTAAAAAAAGTGTAATATTTTGCTAATAGACTTAAATGCATTTCACAAATGTTAAGGCCCATAAGAGATTAAAGTTAAACTGTTTTTGGATACATTTAGATTGTATAAATAAACAAGGCACTCACCTATAGATGGTTAAAAAAATATATTTTAGGGGTCCAAGAGTAAATTATGAACCTAGAATGTCATGGATAATTTCTTAACAAATAAGACAAAAAATGGAATATAGGTCAGATATTTGAATTTGAATTCCCATGAAAATGAAACAAAGCAAAATCAATTATAAAACAGCAATCAAATATTCTTTTACATATATATTTATACACATATACATATGAGATTGTAATTATAACTGGAAGATCTTTGACAGTCCTCTTTACATGATTTGTTCCTTCAGAAAAAATAACCTCATGAAAATTACTTCATGTCCCAACAGAGCTCCTGAGTCATCTAAAAATAGATAATCTAAATTCTAAATTAAATGCTTTAACCTCCTTACTTTGGGCAACTTCCTAAAAAATTAGAATGCTGAACTTCATGCGTCATCTTAATGATTTTACAAGTTATTAATTCTTCATAGGGGCTACAACACACAATACCTAAGTCTTTGCTGAAGTTTGAAGGGTTCCTGTTACTGAAAACTGTGCTTTCCTTCACATACAGTTCTAGGAAGAAAATCTTCAGAAAGCAGTGATTCGACGAACCACTAGAGGGCAGCAATAACACACACGCGCGCGCGCGCTCTCCCCTACACAAGGTATCCTGCATAAAAACGTTTAAGCAAGCAAAACTCATTACGGATGTATTTCAAGATTATTCACACTGAAGAAAATATCATCATCTTCTTAACTTTATTTGAAAAATTACCAGTGTCCCATTATGTATAAGTTGTCTCCATAGTAAATAATGGCTCCTCTCTCAGTGGCTCCTTCCGCATAATTCCCACCAATTCTTAAACTGCATTTACCACCGACAGCAATTATTTACATGACTCTCTTCTCCACCTCGCTTATGAACTCCTAGGCTCACAGGTTCCCACATAGGGAATTGGCGTAAGGTACCACCAGCTTCCAGAACAGAATAGCCACTCAAAGAGGAGGAGGAGGAGGAGGATGCTTAACGAATAAAAAGACCAAAATTTCAGAAACAGTATTCATATGTTTTGATAAAGAAGAAAAACATTTAGTTACAGAAACACCAAACCAGCCAACATATACACAAACGGCAGTCCTTTAAAAGTCCATCATAGAGGCTGGGAGGAAACAAAACCAAACACTGTGTACCTTTAGATACCTTTCCAGTGTTGTACCACATCAGTTTCCTATTCCAAAACTCATAATAAAAAATAATGAAAGTTACTTTTAAAAAAGAAAAAAGGTCAAACACCTGTCCACACTATCCTAACAAACCTGAGTGGAGCAGGACTCAGGACAGCAGATAAACTACGGGTGGGAAGTCCACTTCATTTTCTCCATGCTGACCTCCCAGCAGGGATAATATTTTTAGGCTTTACAAGCTCCTTTTACTTATATAACTCCTTTATTCCTTATACCAACCCCGTGTGCAGATACATACTATTATCACCTCCACTCTCCAGATGAGAGAAGTAAAACACTGCCCCTAAGTGATAAAACCTGACGACTCCAATCCAACGTGGCGGGACTGCAAAGCGGGGACAAGCGGACACTCAGAGAAAGAAAACGTCGTGAAGGAGATGCTATCGCTACCCTGAGAGGGACTGTCATCCTACCAACACCCTTCCGCGCTCAGAGCGAAGGCCGGAGTGAGTAAAACCCTGCGCGAATCCCTGCGCCCAAGAACACGTTAAGGATACCCACGGCGAGGATCTTCCCTTCCAGCGTCTCCGGGCTGACCTGCCGCCCGGAGCACTCCAGCAGCTTCCAGAGCCCGTGGACCCCCATGAGGCCCCCACGAGAGTCGGGGGCGGGCTCGCGGGAGGCCTTCTATTCCAATTCTACCACAGCCCTGCACCACCGCCGGAGCCCGGGCAGAGCTCCCCTTGCTCGCACCCAGGGAAGATGGAAAATAATTCAGAGCATGCGGTTTTCCAGGGAACACCTGCACGGGCGAGAACGGTACTTCCTGGCGGCTGACACTGCCTCACGGAAGAAAGGCAGGACCAGAGAATGGCCGGCGTCGGGAAGGAGCAGGTCCTCCTCTCACCCAAGGTTTGGCCCAAATGTAAGCACTCTTAACGGAAGAGCAGAGCGAGAGCACAGCGCAGGCGAGATAAACAGCCAGAAGGTGGTCCCCCGACACAACCTGTCTTCTTTAGTGCGTAAACCCACGCGAAATGGGGCCTCTCGGCTTCCGTCTAATGCGATGCTCAAGGCGGAAGTCCCGCCTCACGGTACTACGTATATTTGCTGCGCCTTTTCATTCCCGAAGCGAAGGGGCGTTTCAGTCCCTGCGTTCGTGTTCTTCCCGTGCTTTCTCCACGTTGGCATTCAGTCGCCGCCAGACGCTACAACTCTTCGCAGAGTATCTACTTGTTGAGGTGACAGTTTTCTACGTCTCTTCTGCGTATCAGTTTCTGCCCACCAGCCGCTACTTGTGCACTCTCAATACCAAGTATTGTTTTATACGAGAGGCGACAATAGGAAGGTGGATGGATGCTTTGCTGGTGTTTTTAAATTAATAAGCGTTTTGTCTGATAACTCGCAGTAGCTAGATAATAATAGGCCATCATTTTAAGTTAAGCACCTTTTAAAAGCCTTAACCCTTGAAATTACGTTTGGTTTTCTCTGGCGTCTAATTTAGGATTCCACGGCTTGTAGGCCAGAAATGACGAGAAACTTAATTATCACGAGTAGCTCTTGGAGAAGCGCACTAGAATCCGCAGGCCCAGAGTCAGATCCCCAACACACCACCACGCCTTAGTGTTCAGCGTTGTTCAAGTAACGTTTGTTCCGAACTTGTTTCTTCCTCTGCAAACTGGGCATAAAACCAATCTTTGCAGACTGTTTTTGGGTTTTTTTTTAAGATTTTATTTATTTATTTATTTGAGAGAGAGAGAGAAGCAGGGGAGAGGGTCAGAGAGAGAAGCAGGCTTCCTGCGGAGCAGGGAGCCGGATGTGGGGCTTGATCCCAGGACTCCGGGATCATGACCTGAGCCGAAGGCAGACGCTTAACCAACTGAGCCACCCAGGCGCCCTTTTGCAGAGTGTTTTAGCTAGGATCAGAGGTGATGTATATAGACTACTTACCATTGCTATTCAATAAACGATAGCCTTTATCATACATACTGGTTCTAATTTAAAGTATTGAAACGAAATTCAAGCTCAGTGGAAAGGTTGATTTAAATGAGGTGATTTTGTTAAAGGAACCCTTGATGACAGAACTATCAAAAAGTAATTTTTAGCAAAACCATTGCACAGAGTGCTTTTTTTGCATTTCCTCCATCTGTGGAGTAATTCCCAGAAAGAGTGCCTGGTTGTATTTTACAGAGATTAATATAATTGCCTATTCAATTTTTTCCTCCCCTCCCACACACTCCAGACATTTAGCAGGTATTCCGTTAAGTATTGCCCAAATGACCTCTTTCAGCCTCTAGTCTAAAGCTGTCAGGTGTATCTTGCACCATCCTGAAAGAATTTCCTCTCAAGTCAGGCAGCCTTTGGTCCAAATCCTGTCTGAGCCACATAATAACCCTTTGTTAGTGGGTTCAGTTGTGTTCAGCTCTAACATTTACGTTAAAGCCCTAAACCCCACCACCTCAGAATGCGACTGTATTTGGAGATAGGGCCTTTTAAAGGTGATTAAGTTAAAATGAGGCTGTGAGGGTGAACCTAACCCAAACTGACTGTTGTCCTTATAAGAGGAAATGTGGGCACACAGAGAGACCCCAGGGATGTGTGCACAGAGGAAAGACCCCGAGAGGACATAGCTAGAAGGTGGCCATCTATAAGCCAAGGAGAAAGGCTCAGGAAAAACCAAACCTGTCAACAGCCCCAGACTTCCAGCTTCCAGAACTGTGAGAAAATAAATTTCTGTTTTTTAAGCCCCCCAGTCTGTGGTATTTTGTTATGGCTAAGACACCCTATGATCCTAAGCAAGTTTCTTCACCAGTGAGAGTCTGAAAAAAATGAAGATGCGACTTTCTTCTTGGGATTGTTCTGAGATCAGTAATTTAATATGAAACACCTAGTGGGTAATGGTGTTCAAATTAGTTTGCTGAGCGAATGACTGAGGGAGAAAATGCTATGGGAAAAGCTGATATACGAACTGATGGATCCTAGAGCACCTTGCCTGAGCCCCTTGAGTGTGTTGGGGAGAAGGCAAGTTTGGATGTGCTTTAGCTGCTGCACCAGCCTGGCCTAATGATGGGCCAACATGGTAGTGGGGAAAGGAACAGTTTCAGGATTTGATCTAAATATTTTGTTATGCCTACGAGCTGGGTAAAAACAAATAGCCAATGTAGGCCTTTGAGTATTAAAGTGCTTTTAAGACCAGAACATTTCTTGAATACAAAATATTCTTTTGAAGGAACAGTAATTAGGGTGTATGTTGGATTTATAGCATCCTTTAGATGCTGCTTAAAGAGCTGTCAAGATTCTGAACAGTAATACACATCTTTTGGAGTAATAATAGCAAGCACTGCCTGGAAAGCACTGTTCTAAACACTGTACATGCATTAACTTATTTATTCTTCAAAACAATTTATAAAATATATGCTATTATTTCCACCTTACCAATGAGGAAATAAGCACAGAAACATTAATCTTAACTTGCCCAAGGTAATACAGCTAGCGAGTAGAGCCAGTATTTGAACCTTCAGTGCTTCTATAGAGACTCTTAAGAGTCGACCAAGAAATCAAATATGACAGGAATGTTACTAATCTTGAAAGAGAAGCGTGCAGTAATTTGCACATAGTTTTTGGAAAATTAGTCTCTATAAACCTCAGTGTGCTCTTAATAACCACCAAACTTATATATCAAGTTATTCAGTAATCATATATATCAAGACTTCTGTAAAAATTGTTTATGGCGGGCGCCTGGGTGGCTCAGATGGCTGGGCATCTGCCTTCGGCTCAGGTAGTGATCCCAGAGTCCTGGGATCGAGCCCCACATTGGGCTCCTGGCTCGGCGGGGAACCTGCTTCTCCCTCTCCCCCTGCTCATGCTCTCTCTCTCTATCTCTCTCTCAAATGAATAAATAAAACCTTAAAAAAAATTATTTATGGCCAATAGGCAATCTCTATAAACTCATCCTTAGGTGTCATTGTATTCTTTATGTTGCATTTGTCTCCTTTCCTCTTCGTTCTTCCTATCCACCTCTTCTCTGAAATGTTTCATTGAACTCTATGAAATTGCTGATATTCAACTATATTTGACCTACAAAAATGACAACTTCGTTTGGTTCAAGCTAATATAACTAAATTTTCTATTTCCTATTATAAAGTCTTATAGGAATCTAAAATTATAGTCATAATGTATATTGTTTCATTGATTATAAAAGTCTGATACAAGACAATTTCTTATAATACACTACTTAGGCGCAATTGTCACATACTTCAAACAGAATTCCAAGGGTACTCCCTACCTAAAACAAAGGTTCAAAACATGCACATTATTAAAAGTAGAAAACAAAACTTTATTTGATGAAAACTTCTTAAAAGTTTCAGTGTGAAGTAACAAAATCAACAACCTACAAATCTCTTTCAGTCCTTTGCATTTCACGCAAAATATTCTCTTCAGAAAAATGACCATTTCATAATATATATCCCTCTCTGTAGGCTAGGCGTGTCTGAATGGATAAATGGATATAAAATTCAAAAGAGAAGAAAATGAAAATATTTTAAAAATAAAAATCTGAACCCTTTCCTTGAGGTGTATTGCAATGTGGTTACCAACATATTCAGCACCTTGTAATAATCAAGTTACTGATTTGAGTCATGGAACAGCCCCTGAAAAGAAAGAACAAGTCATAGGTTGGAAGCAGAAGAAAAATTGACATCAACTAGAGAGGAGCTCAAATATATGAAATCCACTCTTTCTGAACTATTTAACACTCACTTCAAACAGCTAATTGTACAGATTTTAAAAAGCAGCTCAGAATTGGGAATATGGATATTTCCCTAATGCATCTTTAATGCTGTTAACAACATAGGACTCCACGCTGAGAAGCTAATCAAGTATCAGAAGATCTCATTTCACAGATTACCTCAGATGTAGACATTTTGGATCCCACTTGTTCTTTTATTCTATCCCAAAACAAGGTTCATTGGATAGTAAGATACCAAGTCAAAAAAGTCAATATCCTGAATCAATGCACCAGTAGAAAAGATGAGTTTCTTGAGTCTTCTCTTTTGCCTCTTTATTGAGGATCCTGAGAAAGTTAGTCAGGAAACAAATGAGGCAGGCAGATACTGCTTACAAGTAAAAGAATTCTAGATTCACTAAATAATTTTAAATGAGCTTTAACCATGAGAGGAAACTAGAAATCAACAGCCCCAATTGTGTTTAAAAGGGCAAATGGTGCCTTACATCTTGAGTTTAGGAATAAAACTATCTGCAGCAAATGTCTGGTGATTAAGTCATAAGAAATAATTTCATGCTTAAGTATTGCAAATCATGATGCTATTAAGTGAATTTGTGTTTGATTTGCTTATATGCAATTTATTGGATCTTGTGAAATGTTTTCATACTCTTAACTTTAAAAGGACAGTAATCTGTGCTTATCCGCTTATATATCTGAAATCACCCATCATAATCATATACAAGCTTATTTACTGGAGAACTACAAGGTTATGTTGTACCATATGTATCTTGTACCACAAAATCTGTTCCTATTTAGGGTGGACTTAATAAAACTTCTACTGTCTTAATGCAGTATTGTATAGACCAGTCATGTGTGTAACACAAGATGTTCAGTGCCCAGCATGGTCAATCATTCCCGTCATAATCACTATAACCCTGGTAGCCACTGTTCCTTCTCTCATGGATACTGGATATCTTTTTCCATGCCAAGTCCTGATGGAAACTAGCACTGAAAGACCGGCCCAGGCGCCCATGATGCTTCTTGGAGATATTATCTTCACTCTCCGATTTAGCAATTCCCTGGGCATGTGTTGGAGGTTGTGATTCTTGTCTCATGGTTCCAAATGGAAAGTTCCAAAGGCCAAATCTCTGCCAATTAAGTCTCTGGAATGCTATGATGCAATGCAAATTTCCCCCAACCTGAGAAGAAAAAAAAAGTTGGATTAAGAAAATAAAAGGAGGGCGCCTGGGTGGCTCAGTTGGTTAAGCGACTGCCTTCGGCTCAGGTCATGATCCTGGAGTCCCTGGATCGAGTCCCGCATCGGG